GGGCGGATCAATCTTCCTTTGTTTCAAGCGACCGGTGTAGGTCTGAAAACGCCGTCGACTTTCAGCGCAGCACATATATGACTGTTCTTGTGATTTCACACACACACACACACGCGCGTGTGCGGAGGTGGCAAATGCTGCTCCGTGCCCTCGCAGCCACTGCCAGAGGCCGGGAACCGCGGCGTTTGGGGCGGATTTGAGTCGATTGCCGCGGGGGCGTTTGGATTTGCGATCAATTTACTTGCAGCTGCTGCAGGCGAAGGAGGTGGAAGTGCAGCTTTGCCGTTCTCACTTCGCGCAGCCCTGAATTACAGATTGAATGCTGCGCTTTTGCGCACAACAATTTCACAGGATCCACATCAAGGCACGCAAGATGCACGCAAACTGACGGCACTACTTGGCATGGCCAAGGTGGACACCCTTGCCAGGATGGTTCCCGCAGTGAAGGACAAGTGCTGACATGCTGAGCAGAGCGCATTGCAATCATTCGGCCAATTTCACCTGCCGACGCCCCGCGAACGGGTTTGGGAACCACTGAGAATGTCTGATGAGGCGAACCAGGTCTCAAAATTGCGAGTTGTGTTCGGTTTCGTCTTCTTTGCACGCCCAGGTCCTCAATTCTCTTTTGCGGTAGAGGAATCTGCTTGTAGCCAAACCTCGCTTTGATTCTCAGGAGGACATCAGCAGCGGCAAGGCGATGCTCACTGCCCTTGCAGAGCAGGCAATTCGGAATTCGGATCGAGTGTGATTTTTGGAGGGTGTCCTTGTCAGGGTTGGTTCAAAAAAAAGAAACACAAGGCAATCATTTTTGTTGGGTTCCCCTATGTTGACACATATCCATTTAAAGCTGATTGATTGTGACTGGAGCAGTCTGAAAGAGTCCGGGTGTTTTCTGCCATACTCTGGCTAGCCGGCCCAGGTCTCCCGCTCTTCGGTAGCCGCTGAGGAGCGCGCCCGCCCCTTTGACAAGGCCCATGAGGCTGCGAAGACTTGAAGGCATTTTCATTCCCACGATTCCTTCAACATTTCAGCGGTTCTGCAGTGTATTTTCTCGGTTCAACGGTTTTGTGGTTTTGGATGTTCCTGCAATCCTGCAGTTCTGCGGTTGCGCGCTGAGGTCAAAGCACTGCTAGAAGACATCCTCGGGCAGTGCCTAGAGGCTTCACTTGGCAACTGATGTTGAAGTTTGAAGAAGCCCTGGTCAAAAGAAGTACAGGCATTGTTTGTTTTCATGCCTCCATGTTGGCAGCCAACTGTTCGATGTTTGCTGGTGGAGGCAGTGGCAAAACCAGAGTATTGGGAGAGATGGGGCAAGCACTACGTGCGCGGAGCCTAGCAACGTCTGGTTTGATGCGTCCAAAGCTTTTGCTCACTTGCCTGAAGCCACCCTTCCACCTTCTGGTTTCCTGATTTGGTGCATTTTTTGTCAAGGCTCCAAGAGGTTAACCTTGTATTTCTGGGTCCTTTGAGCTTCTGAGTTTGCATGCTGGGCTGCAGCTCTGTGAGGGTTTTCGACATTCTTGCGATGAATCAGACAAAAAACAGGCTATGCGTTTCAATTGGGGATCCTTCGTTTCGGTGGACAGGTGCATGGGGATCTACCCCCACCCGCCATTTTTAGGGCTTCTCCAACCATTCCAACTCATACGTAGCCAAGTGCACATATAACTTTCCCACAAGTGGCAGTTTGATGGGAATCTGGAATCCACGCCTGGCAATCTTCGGGCAGTCTCTGAAGCTTCTCGAGCTTCTGGTTGTGTCGGCTTGAGGCCCTCCGTCATGTTTGCACACAAGTTGCAGCAGTGGCTCGGCGAAGTCGTCACTCGCGAATCGGCAACATGGAATCCCAAGCATCTTTTTGAGAGCAACCCTCTTTTTGGGGTAGGGTGCGAATTTGCTTGAATTTTACTTGAGGTTCAAACCATGACCATGGCAGAAGGAGATTTGACCATGGCTCGGCGTCCCCAGGTGCCAAGCAGTCCTCACTGTGTAACGGCACCTGTATCACAGCACTTGTGCCATTTCGAGCCAAGATTTTTGAACCGAAGCGCAACCGTGGCGAGCGACTTGGCACAGGTGTAACAACTTCAAGGACCCTTCCGTGCAGGCTGGGGAAGGAGAAAGCTTGTGATCAACTGACTGGATGCTCCAATGGGAACACGAGTCAGTTTCGACACGTTGTTTCTTCAAAAACGAGGTTGGCTCTTTGCTTGCTTTCGGCGACGTCATCAGTTCCAGAGTGCAATGCTTGCAATGCGACGTTTTGCGCAGTGCTATGGCAGCGACCTCTTTGCAGACATCCGAGACCTGGCGGTGCGGGCCCCAGCAAATAGTGTGCGGCCACCCGGTCTGTTGGAAGCTCCACTGACTGGTGACAGCTTTCGCAGTGTGATCGTGGTCTCTGTGCAGCATTGCCCGTTTTGCTAAGGATGCTGCATTCAACAAGCTGCCAGCACCTTCGGTGACCCCAGCAAGGCGTGCGCTTTGAGAGCAGTGACAC